ATATGTTCAGATACTGTAAACAGAAAGGTAAGTGCTATCAATAGCAATAGGGATAGGCATATAAAGGTTTTAGGGCCATATTTACTAAACAGGGCAAAAAGCACTAATGGGAGTAGAAAGTTCTGCGGCTGATCTACAATGTGCACATTAAAGAACACAGGCGCAGCTAGATCAATTCTATAATGCCCAACACAATCTACCTAGTGCAGTGCAAACATGGCTTGGCAAACAATATGTTCAGATAACATCCTCCACTGGTATTCCAAATAAATGAACATGACTGCAGTTTTTCCTCCTACAGCATTGCAGCCAAGAGCAAAATAGGTTGTAAATTAACCGGTTAGCGTTCCAGTGCGTTTAGTAAAATGTTACAGGACTGCTAAAGGGTTAACCCTTTCATCTATGATCATTAATGTCCAAGCTTTTTCAATTTCTTCTATGTTAAAACATTTTACATCTTACCCATTCACTTGATGTTGAGACAGAAAAGAAAACAGTGTCAGTGTCGGAGGGAAATTCGGTCACGCTGAAAACGGGTGCTACTAAAATCCTGAGAGACAATGAAGTGCTCTGGATGTTTGGATCTCAAGATACAGTCATCGCTCAAATCTACAAAAAGGCTGGTAATATCTCATACACTGATGATGAGCGATTCAGAGACAAGCTACAGCTGGATCATCAGACTGGAGATCTGACCATCAGCGACATCCAGATCCCAAGCTCTGGAGATTATCAGATGAAGATCACCGGCAGCAGATTGACTAAAATGAAGAGATTCAAAGTTATTGTACGAGGTGAGATTTTTAAAAATATTTCAAATATCCTTTATTATAATATCCTTAATAGCACTGTAACGAATTCAGTCCACTGAAGGCGAGCGTTAGTGAGAACCCAAGTGCAGTTTATTTACAGTGATCCAAACAATAAACGAAGACTAGAGACTTGACTTGACTTGACTTGACTTGACTTGACTTGACTTGACTTGACTTGACTTGACTTGACTTGACTTGACTTGACTTGACTTGACTTGACTTGACCTGACCTGACCTGACCTGACCTGACCTGACCTGACCTGACCTGACCTGACCTGACCTGACCTGACCTGACCTGACCTGACCTGACCTGACCTGACCTGACCTGACCTGACCTGACCTGACCTGACCTGACCTGACCTGACCTGACCTGACCTGACCTGACCTGACCTGACCTGACCTGACCTGACCTGACCTGACCTGACCTGACCTGACCTGACCTGACCTGACCTGACCTGACCTGACCTGACCTGACCTGACCTGACCTGACCTGACCTGACCTGACCGACAGCGGGTTACAACATCAATACACGACCAAGACTATGGGAACATGATGGCTACTTATAGCAAACAAGAGGGTCACAAGACAAGAACAAACCAATGGGAAACAAGACACATGACTAAGACAACCAATCAAAACATGACACATACACAAGGCAGAGATACATGAGGGCAAGGGAAGCATGACACTAACAGCATGAAATAATTACAAAATAAAAGACATGAAAACATGAACATGAAACAAAACCCAAACGCAAAACCCCACATTACAACTACAAATATTACTTTATTCTTTTTAAGATTTCAGGGCTCTTTAGTGGCTGTTAAGTTGTTCATCTGCAGATTTACATGTAAACATTTTTATGTTTCGGTTACACAAAAAATCACGGAGGGAGAACCTGTCCATCTGCAGACCGGTGTCACTGAACTACAGGAAGATGATCTGATTCTGTGGAAGTTTGAAGATGCCCTCATAGCCAAAGTTAATAGAGAGAGCAGTGAGAACAGCGTCTACAATGTTAATGACGAGAGATTCAAAGGCAGACTGTGGCTGGATGAGCGAACTGGAGATCTCACCATCACGAACACTAAAAGCACTGACTCTGGAGTTTACGAACTGCAGATCAAGAGCAGCAATGAAGACTCCTACAAGAAATTCAATGTTCTTGTTTGCTGTGAGTAACTCATACAAACAGTAATCAATAAGCTGGATTGTACCTGCACAATATAGCTAAAAATGTATATCTTATAAAGTACAAATTATTTACAAAATCAACACAGTAAAAAAAACAACAACATGTAACTACTTTTTTTTTTTTTACTAAATTAACTCAAAAGGAGGATTTAAAATCATATTTACTTAGAGGTACCGATATAAAAATATGAGAGACAAATAAACAGTTTTATTTTAAATTTGGCTATATTAAAATGTGAGTATGTGAGTGTAGAGAGTAGAAGAGAAGCAAACAAATGTAAAAGGCTGACATTAGGCAGAATGTAAATATGTTAATTAGCGTATGACCTCATTTATTGACATTTCGCAACTTTTCGAGCAGGCTTTAGCTACTTTCCATTGAAAACAGCTGGCAACAGTGAGAACAAGTGGGAGAGGTATTAGTTTGCATTTACACTCCAAGACTTAATGCACAGATCGATTTTGATTTTTGACTCGCAGTCAATGCTTTTTCAAACTCAATCCCGGTTTGCAGTGCGTATCTAGCAGCATACACTCTAAAAAAATGCTGGGTTAAATATAATCCAGCGCTGGGTTAAAAAGGGACAAACCCAGCTATTGGGTTGTTTTGACCCAGCAGTTGGGAAATTTTGAACCCAACCGCTGGGTCAAAACAACCCAATAGCTGGATTAAAACAACTCAATAGCTGAGTTTGTCCCTTTTTAACCGAGTGCTGGGTTATATTTAACCCAGCATTTTTTAGAGTGTACACTCTAA